GTCAGGCTCTGCTGGGCGCCTCTCCTTGTCCTCGCCCCCCTTATCCGCCCAGCTGCACGATCTCAGGCCACCCGGGTCCCTGGGGTCTTTTTGAGGCTCCTGGATGCCCGTGGTCCTTCAGCTCTCCCTTCAGGGCCAGCCTGAAAGGGTGAGGTGGTCTGGTGCCCACCGAGCAGCCACCGATGCTGTGTGGGTGCACAACTGTGCCTTCAGAGAAGCCGGGCCCGGGAGGGGCAGCGAGGCGTGGTGGCCACTGTGGGGCGAGCGTCTCCTGACGTGGCACAGGCTCTGTCGCCTCTGCTCTGACCCCAGGGCCGTCAGGGTAGCGCCGCCTCCCTCACTGGCCTCTGTCCTGCTGCAGCCGCGCATCTTGGCTGCTGTGCCCGAGGCGTGGCTACGTGGGTGGGCAGTGGGTGGGGGTGAAGCCCTCCTTGGCGCTGGCCAGGCACCCTGGGCGAGGAAGCTGTCCTTCCCCTCTGCCCATAGGTGCGCCCGGCCACCGGAGCTGCTCGCTCTCCCCGAGTATCTGCCCTCTGCTCTCCCCCAAAGCAGAAAACAGGCCTAGCTGTTGCCAGAGCTCTGGAAACAGAACGTCACTGTTCCTGCTGGAACAATGTGTCCTCCCCCTCCACACTACAGGTCCTGCAGAGACCTTCGGGGAGACTGGCCTTGTCTTTGCTGAGTCCTAAGCTGCCTCTCTCTTCCTTATTGTTTTTTAATCTGCCTCACTGTTCTCCTTGGCCTCGGCCCATCAAAGGGGGTGAGGAGTGGCAATGCTTGGGCCCAGGTCCCCAGAGCACAGTCAGGAGGTGCAGGGGTCAGCGCCCACCAGCGGGGACACTCAGCCCCTGGAGGCCCTGGGTGAACGTGAGGTCTCTCTCTAGACTCCGGGATGGGTTTGAGGAGTTCAGTGGCCGGGTGTGCTGGGTGTGATGACCCAGGATGTGATCCTCTGAGGTCCGAGCGAGCCATGGTCAGGCATGGGAACGTGTCCTTCCTGCAGCAGTGACCCTGCCCACCTGGCACTGCTGCCCATGCCAGAGGTACCCGCCTGCTCGGTGGTGTCTGTGCCATACATTTGTCTGGTTCTTCACAGTTGCATGTGAAGCCCCGGAGAGGACCGAGCATCTGCAGCCCCACACTCAGTGCCAGCGGTACCCTGGTGGCTCTCCCAGCTCCACTGCAACCCGTCCCATCCCAGGATGGCCCTGCTGCCAGTGCCGGGCACCAGCCGTGTGGACACCCACAGGCGCTGGACAGCCAGAGTGAGGGGAACCAGCCACCCAGTGCCTGTGACAAATGTGGCCCTCCCGGAGCCCGGGAGGAGGGGGACCAGGAGGGCAGAGGTGAGGACAGGGTGTTGGGGAGGACAAGCTCCTGGTTGGCTCCCGCACATCCACTTGCCACTCCAGCTGTGCTGGGAGAGGCCCAGCTTCGAGGCCTGACATGGGCCAGCCAGGGACCCTGTGGTGGTGGCCCGGGGGGATCCACGTCAGCTTGTGCACAGGGCCAGTGAGAGTGGCCTGGAGTGAGCCTGTCCTTGGGGTTCCCAGGCCTGTGCACCCCCGGAAGCCACAGTCCCTACCTACCTACCCCCACCCCCAACCCGACCCCTAACCAGGGCACTGCAGGGTGGAGTCTTCACCCCACACTGCCGAGAGGTGCTGAGCTGCAGTCCTGCAGTGGCACCAAGACTGTCCCGGGGCTGCCAGCACCGTGCTTGCCCCAACCGAGGCCCTCAGGCAGCAGCCCGGGCCTGGCTCTGCTGACCCTGCCTTCTGGGCCCAGCGCAGCACCCATAGAGGTCTGAGATTAGGGCTGCAGGGCCGTGTCCGAGACAAAGTCCTCGGAGCAGGCCTCGGCGAGGGTGCAGAGACTCCACGGCAAGAGGACGAGAGGAGACACTGAAGGGGCCAGGGTGGCTTCCCGGTTTTAGGTGGCCCAGCAGGGCCTGGGGAGAGGGGACGCTTTCCTTCTGCCTCTCAGAAGCCCGAGTCAGGCCCACCCACTGTCACCTCAGTCAGCCACACTTGCGCATCCTCTCGTCAGCTGTCTGCCGTGTGCACGCAGGTGTTGGGCAGCACACGCGTCACGGCACCGAGTGTGACCCCTGGCCTCCTCACCCCGAGAGCACCAGGCGCTCCTAAGGCCTTCATCTACGATGAACCCAGTGGTTCTCAGTCTGAACTATGTGAGCCACCCTGCACTGCTGAACTGTTTCAGATGAGGAGTTCTTGCAATGTCTTCCCTGGATGGTCACTGCCTAGCGCCTGCCTGAGAGGCTGTACCATAGGCCCTGCCACAGCAAGGTGGCCTGGTCTCGGCTCCCTGTGGCACCGGCTGCTTCTGTCTTCACCTCAGGCACTCCCCTCTGGGCGCAGGGGCATCTCACAGGTTTCCCGGAAATAACAACACGGAGCAACATTTGCAGTTCCCCATGGCCACCGGTGCCTCTTCTGAGCAGTGTGTACATCTCCTGTCCCGTTTTAATTGGATTAGCTTCTCACTGTCGATGTGCAGGAGCTCCTCCTATACTGTGGTTCGAATCGGTCCCGGGGGTGGGAGGGTCGGCCTCATGCAGTGGAGCGGGCACTGCCCCAGGATCAAGTCCCCCGAAGGCCCCTCTGTCCGCCAGCACTTGGGCCCCTGCCTCCCTCTCCCTCCCACATGGTGACCCAGCAGGAAGGTCCTCAAAGGCTCCATGCACTGTGTCCTGGGCTGCCAGCCTCCACAGCTGTGAGAAACAGTCCCTCGGCAGGGGCCATGTGACAGCCACACACAGGAGCCTGTGACGAGCTTTTTGCCAGGTCCATGTCCTGCCTGGGCCTCTCCAACCTGTGGCTGCCTCTTCATTTCGTAACCACCGTCATGAGCTGAGTGGAGCTTTCACAGTTTGATGAAAGACATTAAATCGTAGCCAAATGGTCAGTGTGTTTTGTGGCCCATCTGAAAATCACCAAGATCTTTTCTTTATATTTTCTTCCAGAAATTTTATAGTTTACTTTGACAGCTATGTCTACGATCCATCTCAAACTCCTGAATTCCATTTCTTTTTGGTACTGGGGAATGAACTCGGGACCTTGTGCTTGCAAGGCAGGTGGTAGAACTACTGAGCTAAATCCTTGGCCCCTGAATTCCATTTTTAATTGTAATAGTTCAATTGTAGATCACTTTGTGTTTCCTACATACACAACCATATTATCTGTGAATAATCCATTTCCCACCTCTTGATTCTTGTCTTTTTTTTCTTGCTTTGCAGCTTGGTTAGATGTGTGGTGGATGCTGCAGAGAACAGGCTGTCGGCAGGCTGTAAACACTCTCAGTGTCCAATGGGGCCAGCGTTTCAGACACTCGTTGCATGGCCACCTCTTGGTGGATACCGACTGCTACTCAGTGACTGCACGAAGACCATTTACCAAAAGAGACAACATGGGGCCCAACAGACTTGAAAAGGCTGAAATCATATAGAGCATATTCTTAGGCCACAGAGGAACTAAACTTTATTTATAATAAAAGGAAAAGCAGAAAATCCCTAAATATTTGATAATGAACCCTAATTCCCTAAATAGCCCACGGGTCACAGAGGGAATCATAATGGAAAATCCGGACTTCCCCACCTCGGGGCCTTCAGAGGTGCTGTGTCTGCAGTGTGCCGGGTTGGACCCCACAGGATGCAGCCCGAGCAGGCCTTGCCTCGCGCCATGGCTCCCGGCCTGGGCATAGCAGCTGCTGACAGGCAGCACACACTATGCCTTCCCTCTGACCTTGGTCTACGTGGTCAGAAAGCATCAGAGGTGCTGTGTGGTAGGCAGCACTGTCGAAGTCGACTGCTTCACCCCTGGGGGCTGTGACTGTTCAGCTGTGCAGAAGGCTTGGACAAGGTGTCAAAGAACCCTAGGAACAGAAATCTGAAACAAGTTTTCTGATCCCACGTGCTGAGATCCCTTTTTCAATCCATTCATGCTATAGTATTTCATAGTGTGCTGTAAAATGGGTCCCACCAGCATCTACAAATAACTCAGCCATTCCTACAAAATTACTCAATGTCACCAGTGCTAAAAGATCACCTTACTACTGTCATCTGATTCCCAACCATTCCAGTCTTTATGTTATGGTTGTCCAGTCTCACTTTGTAAGACATGACACTGCAGAGCACAGAGCTTTAAGGGCACTCAGGTTCACTTTAATTTCGTGAGTTCAATATGCGAAAAGCTCTGGCCCCCACATGGGCCTGCCACTTCTGACTCCCAACGCAGCTGGCTTCTGTGACCAGCCAGTCTGCTGAGAAGGTGCAGGGACCTGCACGCTGAAGGCCTTTGCGGGCGACCGGACCGGCCAAGCATCTGACGTTCTTCACCGGTCCTTCGATTAAAAAATGTGTTTGTGGGGCCGGGGATTTAGCTCAGTGGTTTCGCCGCCTGCTGCGCAAGCGCAAGGACCTGAGTTCGATCCCCAGTACCAAAAAAAAAATGTGTTTGTGTCCGTTTCTTCCTGTAGCAGGAGCTAGGATAACCCCTAGACGCCTGCCCACGGTCGACTCCGACAGACAAATCACCTGCAGGACCCCGCAGTGTGGCGCTTCGGGGCCCCAGGGCCCAGGGCAGAGCGCGGTTAGCGGGGTCGGGCCAGGGAGAGAAGCCGGGAGCAGGCGGGGCCTGGGAAGCAGGGGCCGGACGGACTCTCCCCCCCCGGAGGACGAGGCCGGGAGTCGGGGACCCCTTACGCCCCTGCCCCGCGAGTGCCCTCTGACGCGTGCGCAGCCGGACGGGCGGACGGGCGTGGGGCGTGTCGGGGGGGGGCGGCCACGTGGCCTCGAAGGAATGCTCGGGCGCGTGGGCGGGGCGCGGCCGAGAAGCGGGCAGGCGCGTAGGCCAATGGGAGCCCGGCACGGCCCGGCGAGGCCAATCACGGCTCGGAGGGCGGGATGGTCACCCAGCCGGGGCGGGGCCGAAGCTCCGCGAAGTCGGGGCGGGCAGGCGACGCGGGGGGACGCGGGGGGACGCGGGGGGACGCGGAACGACGGGGGACGACGGGGGACGCGGACCCGGGTGCACGGTGAGTGCGGCCGAAGGCTCCCGGAGACCCCGGCTGACGCCGGCTGGCTTTCGTGCTTGCTGTAAAAGTTGCACTTCTGTCTGTCCCTGAGGTCGCTGAGCCCCCTGGGGTCTGGAGACGCGCGGGCCCGCAGCTCACAGAGCGGGCAGCCTCCAACTTCGAGGGCGGCCCCAGCCTCGGCGGGTGTCCCCCCAACGTTAGGGAGGCCCCTCAGCCCCGGGGCGGCTCCCCAGGTCGGCGTCCTCCCACCCCGGCGGTGTCCGCCCATCCCATCCCCGGCGGCACCCCAGCCCCAGGGGGTGTCCTCAGGGGGTGTCCCCAGAGGGTCTCCCCAGAAGGTCTCCCTGGCACTCACAGAGCGATGGGCGGCGCCGCCCTCCGCCGCGCCCTGACCCCTGGGGACTCCGCGGCGCAGGCCCCGGTGGGCGCGCTGAGCTTTGTGCAGGGCACAGCGGGGGGGGGGCTGGGTCAGCCCGCACCCCGCGAGAGTTGCCCAGGAGGGTCATATCCGCCTTGGTGGGCCGGCGGGCTGGAGTCCTCGACTGGCCCACCCTCCCTGAGTTGGGCGGATCCGCCGTAGGCTGAGCCCCATCAGCAGGCCCGCTTTCCCTCCGCGGGACCCTGCGTTTTGCTTCTAAAAATCTGAGTCAGATCCTGAGCAGGATGCCCGGCTACCAGAGAGCAGGCGGACGCGGTGTTCCCCCCGTTCCTCTCCTGGAGGGGGACTCTTCAGGAGCTCCGCGCAGCGGGCGAGCTCTTGCTGTGGCTGTCGCGACCAGAGTGCCCTCGAGATGGGTGCGAGAGCCGCTTTTGTCCTGGGGAGTCTGTCACGCGGGGGCTTTTCCCTGCCGGATGATTTTGGGGGGTGGCCGGAGGCTGGGATTGAACCCAGAGCCTTCACCTTGAGCTGCATCTCCAGCCCTTTTGAAAGTTTCTGTTTCAGACAGGGTCTCCATAATTTACTCTGGCGGGGCTCAAACGCAGGACCCTCCTGCCTCAGCCTCCCGGAGTTCTGGTTTCACACTCGCTGCTGCTCGCTTGCTCTGTTATACCCTTTGAGCACCTGCTTTATAGAACATGGCTGTTGTTGGAAAGTTGGGCTGGCTTCAGTGCCAGTGCGGACGTTACACCGGGCGGTCACTTTGGGTCAAAGAGCCGTTTGTATCAGCGCTGTTCTCAGTGGAGCAGTCTCCGCACAGAGCGGTTATTGTCACAGTCCTGGACAATAAGCAGGAGGTAGAATTCAAAATTGTACAAAATAGCTTTTTTCTTCAGTGCTAGAGACGCAGCCCTGGGCTGACCCCAGGGTCAGCGCGGCACTGTGAGCCCGTGTGTTCTCTCATGTGTGGGTGACTGGGAGCTGACGGGGCTTTTAGATGTGTGTGTCTTAACGTACGTACGTGTGTGTGTGTGTGTGTGTGCGTTTTAGATGGTTGTATAAGTTGTGTATTTATGCTGTGTATCACTTACATCCTTTATACCTCTTATTGTGCAAGTAAAACTTGGCACAGAGACCGGCATACCTACCTTGTGTACACACGTCCTGGTGGTGCTGGGGCTGGAACCAGGGCCTTGTGCACACTCGCAAGTGCTGTACTGCTGAGTGGCACCCAGTCCGGGACTTTCATTTTTATAAAAATGTGGTATAAACACTTAACATTTTAGTTTTTTCTTTTTGTTTTTTTGGGTTTTTTGGTACTGGGGATAGAACTCGGGTCAGGCGGCGAAACCACTGAGCTAAATCCCCGGCCCCTAACGTTTTAGTTTTTGCTTTTATTTTCTGAAAGAAAAGCAGGGTAGTGATTGCAGGTTGGCTTCTGATTTTCCTTAAGGAACCTGAGGAAACGGATTTGAAGAGCTCAGGTTGTGGAGGCCTGCTCAGTGGCCCTTGGGGCAGCAGAGCAGAGCGGAGCGGAGGTGGAGACCTGGGTTTGGAGAGGATGGGCAGTGGGTTCCAGCAAGTCCAGGCGGTGGGCTGGTTCCCTGCAAAGGTGGCTCCAAAGTAGCTTGAATGCTGAGCAGTCAGTCCAGATGGGAGCCAGGGATTCCGGAGCTGATGGCGCTTGCGCCTTGGAGGCCTGGAGCTCCTGCGAGCACCTTTGGGTCTGTTTTTCCCAGAGTGCGTAGGCCGGCAGGTGGCACCGAGCCATGCGGGGGCCTGTGTGGACCGGGCCAGCTGCTTTCTCCCACTGAGGGCTCAGCTGTGGCCCTGCCCCTCCCCACTTTGCTGCAGAAGCGATAAGGAGGTTGATTCAGGCCTTGTTCTCCAGCCCTGGGCTCAGCAGGTCCGTGGGGCCAGCTGGCGGGGTGGCTCGCGTGGGCCCCAGTTCAATGGCAGAAGCACTTCTGCAGGTCAGTACAGAGTTGCTCCGTGGATGCTCTTGCTCCGTGGGCGGCTCTCCAGTGGGCTGAGGTCTGTCCGGCATTGCAGAGGGACTTGATGCCCAGAGAGTGGCATGGCCTGGTTCAGAGGTGGGAGAGTGTGCAGCGGGTGCCTCCCTCTGTCCTGCAGCAGTGTTTAGACTTGCACGGTTCTGATGACTTCATAGGAAAGAATGAAAGGTGCGGTGCTCAGCTGGAGATGGTAGCTAATCACAGGTGGTGTCAGGAGGAGGGCAGATTTAGGGTTTCTAGGATTTGCCGTCTCTGTTAATCCTGGCCTGAGGAGGAGGCAGCTCGGCAGGCCGTGCTGTCCAGCAGGCCGAGCGCCTCTGCCTAGTGTGGGCCATGACCTTTTAGATGGACAGGAAGGAAAGGAGTGCTTGTGCCCACCCAGCTCCCCGCCCCAGGACCTGCACAGATGGCTGGCTCGCTCTGGGCTCCAGCGGGCGGAGTCCTTCATGGGCGCCTTTCCTGCGGCTTTGCGCTTGCGCACCAAGGCCTAGCAGCTCCCTGCAAGTGTTGCCACTTTGTTCTCGTGTACCCTTCAGGTGCTCTCCTTTTTAGGAAGGAGAAAACGCCACGGGCATTGTGAGTGGAAGACGATAGCCCTCCGTGCGGCTGCCCTGGGCCTGGAGACCTTGCCCTTCGGGCGACGTCCTCAGACTAGGAGAGATGGCAAACAAGTAGAATTTATGGAACCTTTTTTCGGTATTAGGGACTGAGCCCAAGGCCTTTGTGCTGAGCTGCATCCCCAGATCGTGCTCTCCTTTTGATTTTTCCTTTTGAGACAGGGCCTTGCTCAGTCGCTGAGCTCCGTGGGCTGGGTCGAAGTTGCAGTCCTCCTGCCCCAGCCTCCTCTGGTGCTGGGATTCCGGGCATGCGCCACCGTGCTGGGCTTTCTAGGGTGCTTGAAGGTGACGTGTGGTGGAAGAAAAGTAGGAACAGGACAGGTGTGGGCACAGGGGAGGGGCTGACCCGGCTAGGCTGAGTGTTGGGTGGGAGCGGCACATGGGAGGGCCCCAGAGGGCGGCTGCTAGGGCCTCCGAGGATCCCTCGAGCAGAGCGCAGTGGGGGACCGGTCCTTGGCCTCTGCTGCCCGGGCAGGAGGTGTGAGGGACGCCCGGAGGGCCCCTGGTGCGGGGAGCTGGCCTGCCACGCCTCACAGGCTCCAGCATGGGTTCTGTTCGGAGGAGGCCAGGATGGCGGGGAACCCGGGCACTGTGGCAGCTCCAGGCCTGTCGGGGTGAGGACGGGCACCGGTCAGCTGCCTGCCATTGGAAGTCACACCCAGGATCTGCTGGGGTGAGCGTGACCCGGGTGCGTGCATGGAAGTGCACAGCCTGGGCATAAGGCAGGCTGCTCAGGCTGTCTGGGGCACAGTGCGCCATCACGCAGGAGGAAGGGCCAGGAGCCGGAGGGGAGGGAAGCCAAGAATGCGGCTCCCAGACCAGAAGAGCAGGCAGCACAGGAGAGTCAGGCACTGTTGTCAGAAGACCCAGGCGCTGGGCTGGATGCGGGATGTGGCCTTGGGCTGTCCCTGTCCCCCATGGGGCGGGAAAGACTGGCTGCTGGTGTGGGGAGTGGCAGGGGGTCGGGTCCTGAGCGGCCCTTGGCCCTGGTGCCCTGTGGAGCCTCGCAGTGGGGTGGGCACTACCCTGCAGCTTGTGCTAGGTGCCCAGCTGGGGAGGACCTGTGTCCTTTGGGCAGGGGACAAGAAAGTGACCCAGGGCTCAGCCCCACGAGGACAAACTCCTGAGAGGGTTTGGGATGGGCTGACACCACAGGAGCAGCGCTCGGGGCCCTGCCTGACGGTGGCATGGAGGGGGGTGGGAGGGGACCTGGTGCAGCTGCACTGCGAGTTGTGTCGAGGGTCGCACACACCCGGCCCCACCAGGTCCACCCTGGTCAGGAAGAGATGCAGAAGGAGACAGAGACACGGAAAGTGAGGAGACAGGTCAGAGACAGAGAGGAGGCAGCTGGCATGGAGATACAGGGGGGGCAGAGGCGGCTCCAGGCCCGCCCTCATGTGCGGCGAGGGTCGGGAGACCTGGGGGGGGCGCTGCGACAGCCCCTCCCCTGACCCCAGCCCTCCTCCCCGCTGGGCGCTGGGCGCTGGGCGGTGCCGAGTCCCGGGACCCCACACCAGTCCCCTCTCTGGGTCCCAGTGGAGTGGCCACTCTGAGTGTCTCACAGTCGATCCAGACCCGCGGGCCACTCGGGCAGGCAGAGGGTGGGCTCCACACTCTGCTCGGGACATCGCGGCTGTGTGGGATTTGGGGACCCACTTGCAGGGAGACCCGAGGGTGGGCGATTTGGGGGCCCAAGTCCAGAGCCGCAGGTGCTGTGCCTCGGGGTCCTGTGGGTGGGTGTGTTGGACCCTCGGGTGGGAAGTGCAGTCTCTGTGCTGCACGCGGCTGCACGCAACTGGGGACGGCCGCCCCACCCCCAGTCCCGAGCCCGGGGACCCCACTGGCACCCTGGCCAGGCCCTCTGTCCTGGAGGACTGGGCACTGCCTGCCTGCCGCCGGCCTCTGCTGGCGGGGACTGGGGCAGGGTGTCCGCACACTGGCACGACCTCGTGGAGACCCCTCGGGCGTGGAGCTGGGAGGGTGGGCGTC